CAACACAAGCGGTAATTCTTCGAGGCCCAAATATGTTGAGTGCTTCGCCTCCCAGACTCTAAGGTATACTTTTTTTTCTAAAAATTGCACGGGGCGCCCTATTTGGTCACCCCCAAAAAGTTTTAACTTGTATCTACTTTTTAAACAACTTTAGCCTCCTTCTCCTCCTTCGTTTTCTTCTTCTTCTTCTTCTTCTTCTTCTTCTTCTTCTTCTTCTTCTGCTGTTGTTGGTGTTGCTATGAAACTTCGGTTCATGGGATGATTGCCACAAGTATGTTTATGATCACGCACAACTCTAGTCCTAAAAAAGATAAGTGGTCGCTGTAAATATAATCCGGTCTAAAAGTCCAGAGTCGAATCTCACAGAGAACTAAGGCTTAACTATATCTGTTTAATATCACTAAGAAGACAAGTTTGAACAATTTTCTAAATTATAAAGATTGAGATTTATATTTCTAACTAATTAACTAGCAATTACTACAAAGCGATAAAACTATCAGCTAACGAGACAATGGGTTGGAGACTAAATTAAGGAGGTCTAGAGTTATGATTTTCCCAATTGTCGGAATCCTTCTAGCTATGTTCCCTACAATTTTGCCAATGTATTCTCTACTGATCGTGAGCACTTTAGATGTCGTAATTCTCTCTCGAGCAACTACAACAATTTACTAGACATATTCTCTCGAACTACGCTAGTTGTCTTTATCTAACCGCTCATTATGACCACGTCAAGGCTTTGTTATTTCTAAACCTGCATTTAAACCCACTGTATTGATTTCTCACATACGTTAGGAGTGACATTGTTCAACAACCACCTAAATATGTATCCTTTCTCAAGCAACACATAATAAATAGGCATAGTCAATCGATGGCCATTCAATCAACAACAATAAACACGTAGTTGAACAAGTAGGAAAATCCAACGGCTCATTTATATAACAACATAACAAGAATTTATCCTACAAAAGGTTCTATCAAAACCCTAGATAACAAATTAGTTATTCATAATAGTATGTAAAACTACAATACTAAAAGTCATAACCAACAATGAAAAAATAGGAAGAGGAAGGAAAAACTCGTAGAAGAATTCTCCGCCTTCCTCCTATTGTGTCTCTGCCTCCTTAGGTCAAATCTGTGTCAAAAATTGGTCTCTTCCTTCAAAAATACCGTTTTTCCATGTATATATACCAAGTAGGGTCAGGCCCAAACTATTATACCTTCTCCTACGCAAAAAGGACAATTTTTTCAGGTCTGGATGCCGCGGTCACGGTCAACCGCGGTACGAACGCGGTATTTGGCAAGTATACTGCCTCAGCCCGCCTCAGGTCCGCGGTTGCGGTTTCAATCGCGTTTTTTACCCTGTTCCATTTGGAATTTGGAAAAACATAAAACATAAAAGTTGTAGCCCTTTGAGTTAGCTTTCCAACCATATATTGTAGAACCAAAATAGAGTTCTGAGCAAAACGTTATGTGCATTTTACTAGACAGTGTGCAATATGCCTCCTCGATTCTTCGTTTTGTTGCTCTATCTTCTGTTGATCCCCGAATACGATCTCGGCTTAATTCCTTGGGCTTTTACTCAGACTTCAAAGCTCCAAATCACTTGAATTCATTCCATAACATCTACATAGCTCGGAATCACTCCTACAAGGCATAAATCACACAACTAGTGCAAGACACTAGCGATTAAAGCTCAAACTCAATTAAAGTGCAGTAAATTTGAGTGTAATAAGCGACTAAAATACGTAATTATAGCCTATCATCAGTTTATCAGATTATTTAAAAATAAATTATAAATAATTACGTACGTTATAATTTGTGAATATTTCCACGTACGGGAAGTTTAAGGTCACACTTAGTGATTCTTTTCATGATGATTATGTTCTTTTCACGTTTATTGTTTTCAAATTTTATGATTTAGATACTGTTGGCAATCTGATTATTTTATAGTAGTAATACACTATGAAGAATAAGGTGATTATTTATCTAGTATGTTAGAAAGCTTTTTCAAAACTTCAGCTTATATAGTGCTGAAGTTTTTACAAATGAACTAAATAACTTCAGCATCTTCTGCTTAAGTTTTTGAAAAAACTTTATAACAAAACTAATGAGTTCAGGACAAAAAACTTCAGCTTATTTAGTGCTGAAATTTTTACAAATGAACTAAATAACTTCAGCATCTTCTGATGAAGTTTTTGAAAAAGCTTTATGACAAAACTAGAATGCTTAAGTTCAGCAATTACAAATAAAAACTTCAGCAAATAGAGAACAAAACTTCAGCACTAGAATGCTTAAGTTCAGCAATTACAAACAAAAACTTCAGCACACTTGGTTCAGCAATTTTTGCTACTTCAGGCCCGTCTACTAGAATGCTGAAGTTTGCGTGATTGCCTTTGCTACTTCAGGCCCGTATGCTGAATTTACGCAAAAAAGTGGGTACGCTTGTAAAATTATTTGCAAAGCGGGTACAAGTTAAAACGTGACCCAAAAAGCGGTATAGATGCAAATGCCCCCTTTTTCTTGCCAATGAGTGTAATCTTGAAGAGACGATACTAAACAATTGACATATCACTTTATTGTAAATTTTCTTCAATTTCTTTCTCCATATATTTGATATTCATGGTTATAAATACGAAGAAGGGTCATATTTACCCTTCTACTATTGAAAATAAGTTACATTTATCCCCGTTTTAGTTTGCTAATAAATCCACCCCTACCGATATACTTTAAGTTTATTTATACCCCTCATCCGTTAAATCTCTCATCCCAGCCTTAAAAAGCATGACATCACTGGACGAAAAGACGCGCCCCATTTTAAACAAATAACCCGCCCAACCCAGCTACTAAATCCAAGCCCCTATCGACCAAAAACTCCCTAAATTAAATCCCTCTTCCTCTAACAGAAAGTGTGCAAAAACTAAGGTTCTTCCATACACTAATTGGGTCCATTGAAAAGCTTTTTCTCCCATTTACTTTGTATATATTGTTGTAGAAAAGAGTAGAAGAACTGAGTGTGCATTAGAAAATAATTAAAATTCTTGCATTAGGGTAGGTTATCTACATCACATCCCTTGGGTACGACCTTCCTCGGATCCTGCGTGAACGCGGAATGCCTTGTGCACTGGACTTCCCTCTTTGGATTGAACACGTTAATTCTATAAACAAGGCTTGAGAAAAATGAAAAAAACAATATAAGCAAAAAGAGTCTACGGCTGCCTTATCCGTGACTCGTGATTAATGGCCAGCTTCAATTCTTGGCATTCTAATACTTGAGTTGTTAGTTGAAAGAAGAAAACATTAAAGGAAGAAGGCGAGAAGCAGCAAAGAAAAGAATACTGAAATTTGGAAGGAGGGAAAAAGGTAATTTATTCATTACAGAAAAGGAATATTGTTTTTGTCGTTGGGGTTTGGGTTAAGTAGTTGGGTCAGGCGTGTTATTCATTTAAGAATGGGTGGGTCTTTTTGTCCCATGACGACATGCCACGTTGATTTTTAAGGTTGGGATGGTGGATTTAATGGATGAGGGGTAAAAGTAAACCTAAAATATAACGATAGGGATGAATTTATTAGCAAACTAAAACGTGGATAAATATAGCTTATTTCTAATAGTAGATGGCTATATATGACCCTTTTCCGTTATAGATATTAGTCTTGGACTGCACATATATAATTGTAGTGTTTTTCCATTTGCGCCTTTTTTATTAAAGCACATACTTTATTTGTGCTTTGTGCTTAAAGACCTAATAGACCTTTGTGCCTTTTTGCTCTTTTCGCGTTTGATAACACTGCTTTTCACGAGTACTAGATTTCAAATAGTGGAAATTGTTCCCTTGGATGACAAAAAAATTTAATTAGTTTAGCATCTTTTTTATGGTGCAAAGATATTAGGAGTAGTTCTTATTCCCTTATGCTTGAGTACATAGTGCGCACAAAGCCTAAAGTGATGTTTATATATTTGTATTAAATAGAAGTTAAATTAACAGCATTTTATATATAGTATAATAGAGTAGATATGGTTGGATTTCCTACAGTAAAATTCAATCATCACGACAAAATTTCAGAAATACCCCTACCAATGTAGACAGAATCAATGCAAGTATTAGTAGTGGAATTAAAATTATTATCTCTAACTTTAGGTCCTCCTATTTAATTTGTTATCACTTATCATAATATTCTACTTTTAATGTCAAAGGTGAATGGGGCATTTTCCTCTCCAAGTGAAAAGGATTAGTAGAATTACTAGAACGTGATAAAAAATTTGCATTAAGGAGACTTACCTGTACCTTTTCTTAAAAAAATCTAACTCAAATGTAATTTTGTAATAAGTTAATGTTTAATCCTGTAGAAGTTCGTTTTCCAGTTTGGGGCTTAGTTGCTTATAACCTGCTTGTGGAAATGCCCAAACCAATTATGTTGTAACTTGCCAGAGCTTTTTGTCCCTCTGCTGCAATGAACGAACTGATTACAGAGCAATATTGCGAAATTACAGCGTGGCTGATAAATGGTTAAGGTAATTTGTACTAACATCAGTCTTAACCAATTCGATAACCAATGTATTGAGTATTATTTTCAGCATATTTTTTTCTACTTTCCCCTGAATACATTAACATGATGAACTACAAGCAGAAATTGTTAACCCCCAAAAAGAATATGCTATTTGGTAATTCTTTTTTAGTGGGGTTGTCGTGGAGAAGGTGCAAATGAACTTCCATTGCTGAGGTGTACTGCTGCCTAGAGGTGTGTCCTTTCCAGTGCCAATACCGGTAGGTGTGGTATTTCTGTTATTGAACCTTGTATTACTAGTTTGTTCATCAATGTCGTAATGAACACTACCCATATGAATTAGTTAAGCAGACACCTATTAGAAAATTGGCCTAAAGAAGAACACCTAGGTCAGGAACACTTTACTACTTGGTAATAACTGCCAGTATAAGCAACGGGGACTTTCGTTTATTGCAGTGTTTGTATCTACCTGTCATCCTGAAATGAAATGCTAGCCATGAGTCAAAATCCTAAAATTAATTGATGAAATCTTTCACTTTATACATTTATTCCTACATGTTACTTTTGTATGTTGTAAAAAGGAAAGTTCAGCTTCCCAGCTATACAGACACTCGCAACTATATCAAATATATGCACACTGCCACCTTAGTTAGGTGCCTCCCGTTTGGATCCTACTTCTCTGAGCCACTCAACAACCTCTGTTATAGCTGGCCTTTTGAAAGGATTGTGGTTGACACACATGCAGGCAACATCGAGCACATTAAGCATTTCTTCTTCAAAGCCCTTGTCTCTCAGCAGAGGATCAAATATTTCTTCTTGTTTGCCTTGATTTCTCATTTGCTGCACCCATACAACCAATTCCCTCGACATCTTTGGTTTGGTCATGTCCACAGGTCTTCTGCCAGCCAGGAGTTCTAGCATCACAACTCCAAAACTATAGACATCCCCTCTCAAAGTGGCTATCCATGACTGACTGTACTCCGGTGGGATGTAGCCGAGGGTACCAACCAGTTCAGTGGTTACATGAGTATGGTAAGGAAGAATCAATCTGGACAATCCAAAATCTGCAACATGTGCTTTAAACTTTTCATCAAGGAGGATGTTACTGGATTTGATGTCACGATGAACAATATGTGGTTCACATATCTGATGCATGTAAGCCAGCCCAAAACTCGCCCCCTGTGCAATCTTCAGTCGAGTTGGCCAATCAAGTAGGGATGCTCCATCAGTCTTCTCGTGCAACCAGTAGTCCAGACTTCCATTTTCCATATAGGAATAGAACAGCAATCTACAGCCATCATGCACACAGTAACCTTCAAGAGAGACCAAATTCTCATGTTGGGCAGTGGATAAAGCTTCCACCTCTGCCCTAAATTCTCTTTCAATTAAACCCATATCTCCTGAAAGCTTCTTAACGGCCAGTGTAGTTCCATCTGCTAAAGTTGCTTTGTAGACCAGACCAAAACCTCCACAACCAATTATGTTTGCTTGGTTGAAGTTATTTGTGGCTTTTAGTATGTCAAAAATTGTGAGATCCTTAATCTGATTCTTATGGGTTGGAAACATAACAAGCATGCTATTATCCTTACCGTTCTCGGCAGACAATCCAGAAGTGGAGTTGTAGGACACAATATCCAAGTCATTTTTCTCAGCATCACCTCTCGGAAGGATCCTCCTCTTGGAGAATATCCATAATGCTGTGACAATAAGTGCTAAGGCAATGCCGAAGGAGATCCCTAGGATTAGTCCAATTATAATTTTCATTTTTGGGCTTTTTCTCACTGCTGAAGGTTGTGTAGTTGCCGATTGGTCAGTGCAACTGTGCTGCAATATTTGACCGCAAAGTCCTGGATTCCCTAAGAAACTAGTGACAGGAAATGTGTCAAACTGACCTCCCGTTGGAATAGGGCCCTCAAGATTGTTGTGTGCAACACTGAAAGAAGACAAAAAATGAAGACCCTTGAGTGATGAAGGAATTTCACCTGAGAGGTTGTTTCCAGATAGATCTAGTTTCTCCAAGTTAGTGAGGTTGGATATTGTTTCCGGAATGTTTCCTGAAAAGTTGTTATTGCTCAGATCAAGAACAAGGATGTACTTCAGCTGACCAATCTCAGTTGGTATAATGCTGTCGAGCCTGTTATGTCCGAGGTAAATAGCTGGTGGCAGGTTTGACAGTTGATTATATTGCTGATTTGAGGCATTGTTTGGCTGAACAAAAACAGGCAACTCTAAAGCACTTCTTTCTATCTGATCAGCAGCCCCCTCTGATGCCAGTCTTTGCAGTTGAGTAAGTTCTATTGGGACGCCTCCATACAGAAGATTTTGAGACAAATCCATGTAAAATAGATTTTGTAGAGTCCCCAACCAACCTGGAATTTTGCCTGTGATTTGATTCATAGAAAGGTCTAGAACCTCTAACTTCCTAAGTTTAACCAGCCATGTCGGTATCTGTCCAGTAAAATTGCAACCACCCAAACCCAGAATTTGGAGATTTTGAAAATCTTCAGACCCAATTAGGTTTCCATCATCGGGCAATGTTTCATTATAGAAGTTTATGGTTAGGATTAGTGTGGTAAGATTCTTACAACCCTTAAGCACTTCTATTGCCCCTGCAAAATTGGTTAGGCTGTTATTGGAGACCGAGAGGAAGGACAGAGATTGTAAAGACATTATGCCAGGCATGATATCTCCCGTCAGCTTGTTAGTAGCCAAACGGATTGCAGTTAATGACCTGCATGAAAATAAGCTTTGTGGAATGCTTCCAGTGAAGAAGTTATTCCCAAGGTCAATTGTGCTGAGTCGACTGAGGTTTGAGAAATCAAGAGCTGAGAGTTCACCTTCCAAGAAGTTGACCCTTAAATTGAGCACAGTGAGACGGGTGCAAGCCATCAGTGAAGGGGGCACAGTGCCATTTAGAAAGTTTATATGGAGGAGCAACTGCTCCAATCTGGTGAGCCTTCCGATATCTTGAGGGATCAAACCTGTCAATTCATTGCCATAGAGTGCAAGGATTCTGAGGTTGGCGAGGTTGACAATTCCTTCTGGGATGGGTCCAGAAAATTTATTGGCAGGTAAAAAGATTTCCTGCAGTGTTGACACACTATAAATATCATCAGGAATGGATCCTGAAAGATGGTTGAATCCTGCTCTCAGAGTAACCAAATTGGAGCAACTTCCAAATCCTTTGGGAATCTGTCCCACGAATTCATTGGAGGAGAAATCAAGAACTCTGATGGCTGCAGAGTAGCTGCAGATAAAGGAAGGTATTTGACCAGAGAAGCTGTTGTTGCTAATATCAAAACTCACTAAATTAATTGCTAGCTCGAGAAATGATGATCGGATTGTCCCATTGAAGTGGTTGCTGGAGAGATTTAATAACTGGATGGGTGATGGCAATCTATCAGATAGGGGCAATTGTCCTGATAAACGGTTATAACTCAAGTCAATGATCTGCAAGCTACTAAATGACTCGAAAAATCCATCCGGGAGGGGACCAAAAAAGCGATTATGTGACAGGCTGAGTTGAGAGAGTTTGCTCAAATTTGCAATAGAAGGTCTAATGCTTCCCAAAAGGCTTCTTGATGGAAGCAGCAGACTGATTACTCTGCCACTGTTATCACAACCAACACCTTCCCAGGTGCAGCAATCAGTAGAAGAAGACCAATTCAAAGGAGATGGAGAAGAGATAGCAACAGAGAATGATAACAAAGAATCACGATCAAGTTGATTGCAGGAGGCATGACAAATAGTAGCAACAGAAGAAATTAGAAGTACAACTGTCACTGTTATTAGGTAAAAAGAGTTATGGTGGGGTAAAGATGAAGAAGAAGAAGAAGAATGAAGAGAAGTGAGGAGCATGGCTGCTCGAAACTGATGATATGTCAGACCAGATTGTAGGTGGCGGCTGTCCTTATTATCCGTGATCATTAATTTGGACAACTAAAGATGAGCAAGAAGAAAGACAGTTGAAGATGCCAAGATACTCCAATCAACCATGTGGGTATTTTTTTGCAACTTCTTTGTCCTGTCGATCGTGCAAGACTTTAGTCTAACCCCATGAAGAGGAGAGAGAGAGAGAGAGAGGAGTTGATGTTGACAAGGAGCAATTTTTATGTAAAAAAGCTGAGGTCTAAATTCTTGAAATAAAGCGTTTACTTTTGGGACGGCTGGATAGCTTGGTGGACTTTCTTTTTTATTCTGTGGATATTTGTATATTTGCCACCATCATATACTAAAGCGTGTAATATACGTGGGAAAGAGAGAGACTTTACCATACTATTCTCCTCACTTCCTCCTTATTGAAATTGCTTTTTCTCCCAATATGACTTGTCTTCTTTATTTTAATTTTATGCCCACTTGCACTAAGTAACAGATTATTACACTCTTTTATATTATGGCATGTTGTGATTTTCAAAAGTAGCTTGCACCTATCAGCTATTATGGGTTTGTTGCTATCCGATTTGCTACATGATGGGTTGTAATATTTGGGAGGTGGAAAATGTCCCAGATGATAAAGCAGACACTTAGAGGTGGAGGAAGAGCCACATAGTATATATATCCTTTATTTTTTACATAGTATGTTTATCGGTGAAGGGGAATCTTGGGGCAATGGTAAAAGTTGCCGCTGTGTGATTAGAAAGTCACGCGTTCAAGCTACAGAGACTATCTCTTATAAAAATACACAATAAAATTGCCTAAATCAGACTAATTTGGTCCGGTCCTTTCCTAAACCCTATGTATGTCTATTGGTGCTCTGTTTTCAATTTTTTATGTAGCTGACTTTTCTCTGTACAAGCTGTGCTATAGTCACATGTTATGTTATCTGTGTGTAGACATTACTTGGCCCCTTGCTTAATTTAATACTATTACTTGGCTCGTTGACCATTAAAGGAGTTTCCGGATCCATTCCAATTATTATTCTTTTTTAGAGAGAGAATGAAGGTTGGAAATGAGGTTTTCCCTTTAATTAAGGGTTTAATTTTGGTACTTTGATTGTGTAAATAAAAATATAGCCAACTAAACAAAAAAAATTAATAGTAAGTCAGGATTGGTGATCAGGTTGATATAGACATGTTCAATGGCTGCTTATTGGAGAAATTGCAGGGAAAGCAGAGGCCTGAATCCCCGGAGTTTGACGGCTTCTCAAGTCATCTTCTAGAATAATTCGACAAATTTATTATTGGGGACAAATACTATAGGGTTAAAATTCCAAAAGATAAATTTACTATCGTATGTTAAACTACACTGACAGTGTGAACGACTTATATTGCCTGCGTATGTAATAAAAAACTACAAAAAATCCAATTTATTTCAAGTGGGCGAGTCGTCTTCACTCTTGAGTAATCATAATGGCCAATCATAATCCATTACCGAGCACTGAACTATCTCTGCGCATGATGGTGGAGGAAAAGGGATCACAAATCACCAAATAATAATTCAAAAGTCAACAGTAGTAATAATAATAACAATAATCCCCTGTTGTTTTTTTTTGTCAAAGTGGTTATTATGGCTTATGAGCATAGTGGGGGGAACACCATGAGATAGGAATCGCACACTAGGCAAACCATTTACCAAACATAATATATCTCATACAGCAACACCCAACAGACACAACCACAGCCACGTCTTCAGATAGGATATCCTTAATAATTCTAATAATATTTACTGTAGTTGCTAGTTGCCAAGATTAAATTAGTTTTTATTGAGGTGGTCATCTTTTAAAGAGTTTTGGTGAACATATGAGAGAAACTCAGAAGTAATATTGTTGAACCACCAAAAGGTGGAGTGAAATGTGAAATGGTAAAAGTTCCTCCACACGTAAGAAAAGATCTCGAGTTCGTACCTTAAATATATACTCCTCTTAAATAGGAGCACCAAAACCCATTATAGCTGGCTATCTACACGCGAATCTGAATTAATCAGGTCACTAGGTTCCAAACGAATCATAATTAAAGTTAAACTACATATATATATATATATATATATATATATATATATATAGTTGGTGTGTGGATTATGGCCAGTCGCTTTCGCAAATCCCAGTTAAAAATGCTGAGCCCAACCACTAAAGTTTACCAATTTGAAGAGACCTGAAGAAGACCTGTCCCTTTTTCAAACCAAATGTTCTCCACCAGATGCAGATTCTAGCTTATTCAAATCTCAGTCAAAGATCATCCATACCAGCTTTCCTTCTGTCTATATATTGTTCTACCAGAAATGCTGAAAACTACTCTATCCAATGAAAAAGCATTTGCATCTCATTGGTATCCTGGACCACATTTTATTCATACACTCAAAACATAAATTGCAAAACAGACTTCCCTTTTTATTTTCTATTAATTGGGGGGGTGGGGGGTTGGGGTTGGGGTGGGGTGGGGTTTGTGTGTGGTGGGGGGGGGGGGGTGGGGGGGGGTCTGTAGTAGAAACATTAGTTGGT